CCCGCTCACCACTCACCCACAAGGACCAGGGTGGCCTCGGCACCCTCTGGGATTGACTCCAGGAGTTGGGGTCTGGGGACCCCGCTCTGTTGCAGGCAGTTGGAGGGCAGGGATCAGCCAGGCAGCCTTGGTGGCTGTCCCCCGTGGTCCCCCGTGTCCCCTCACTCTGCCCCTGTGTGTCACCCACTGCCCCCTGCATGTTCCCCTGCATCTCCCTCTCCCCCTTTGTCCCTTGTCCCTCCTGTTCCCTGCGTGTCCCTCTCCATCTCCCGCATGTCCCCCACTACTCCTGAGTCCCCCCTCTGTCCCCGAAGTGTCCCCCGCTGTTCCCTGTGTGTCCCCCTGTGCAGGTGTGTGTGTGCGCACCTGCGTGTGCCAAGGTGTGCGTGTGCCCAGGTGCATCTCCCGCACCCCACTGTCCCCAGTGCCCCCCGTGCCACCTGTCCCCGCTCACCTGCTCCTTCCCTGCCATCCTGCTCATCTCCAGGGGCCGCTGCTCCCGCAGAAGCGGCCGCTCCACGTCGGCCCGGGTGGTGCCCGAGCGCTGCACCAGCGCCGGCGGCATCGTCCACACCGACTCGTCCTCGGTGGGGTGGCTGAGAGCACCGGGGCGGTGTCAGAGCCCCGGTGCCACCAACCCCTCCCCGACCAGCCCCGTGGGTGTGAGGGAACCCCCAAAGAGGCCTGAGGGCAAAGCTTTCCCACCCCGAGCCAGGCTCCGGCTGCGCACTCCGGGGAGGGTCCCAGGCCCTGGGGTCCCCCCGGCTCCCCCCCGGCCGTACCTGTGGCGCAGGAGCAGCGTCCTCATGACATCGTCCCGGTCCTGCGGCTTCACCTGCCCCTCGTAGATCAGCTGGTCCAGGAGGATGTGCACGATGGCCGGCAGCGAGTTGGCCTCCACGTTGAGCAGGACGGCACCTGCGGGGACAGCACTGTCACCGTCCAGCCAGTGCAGCGTCCTCACCACCCTCCTGGTGGTCCCTGGAGGTGTCCCCACCTTTGTTCAAAGCCCGGCGGATCTCCAGGAGGCTGTGGTAGGTCAGGAAGGAGAGATGGGGCTGGCTCCAGTCCCCCGACTCCTGGAAGTCCTCCTCCAGCTTGAGCCAGTGGCCGGCCTCCATCCAGCACAAGTCCTTTGCATTGTCCAGGACCAGCTCGTGCAGCTCCACATATCCCTGTAGCCAGAGATGAGGGGCTCAGCCTCCCTGGCCACACCGGGGACCCCCAGCACACTCAGCACCCCCCCAGTGCCCTGACATCCCCAGGGCTGAGCTGTGAGTTGGCCCCAGGGTCGCCACAGCCCACCCACCCCCAGAATGGGGAGGCAGTGGGGATCCCTGGGGCAGCACCCACCTCATGGGTGTCCTGCTGGGACAGGAGCCTCCTGCTGCCCGCTGCCTCCAGTTCCACATCGGTCACTGACACAGCTGCAAGTGGAGCCACCAGTGTGTTAGCCAGTCCCTGCCCCGGCACGGACCCCCCCGGGGCCTGCTTGTGGTGCCTGCCAACATCACACCCATCCCAGCCCCTTTGGGGTCACCTGGACGTGTCCCCTTCTCCACCATCCCCACCCCAGCCCTGCTGGGCACTCGCTGGACGTGCCCCCCGTGTTGCCCCACCCCAGACCCAGCTGGAGTTTGCTGGACGTGCCACTCCACTTTCTCTCGCCCACCTCGGTCCGTCACATCCCCACAGCCCGGCCCCAGGGCAGGGTGACAGTCCAGGGACATCACCGGAACCGGGGCGAGGACGGGGCTCGCGGCCACCGCCCTGCCACCGGCACAGCCCCAGGACCGAGCGGCACCACTGGAAGGGGGACACGGGGACAGCACATCCCCGGCCAGCCGGACCCCCGAGGTGTCCCTGTCCCCGTGCCTGCCTACCTGCGGCCCCCCCTGCGCTCCCCATGTCCCCGCCGCTCCGTCCCTATAAGGTGGGGACGGATCCCCGCGGCCGCCCTGCGCGCACCGTAAATCCCGCAGCACTTCCTTTGCTGACAGTAAACACCGGCGGCTCCCGCCCGCCCGCTGTCCCCGCACCGCGGGGTCGGGCTCAGCCCGTCCCCTCCGGCCGCGCGGGGACACCGCGCTCCCCCGGCCGTCCCCACCGGGTCCCCCGGCGGGGCGATGCTGCAGGAGCCGCATCCCGCTCCGCCGGGGAAGGATGCTGCGCCCGCGGCAGCCGGGACGGGGCGCGTCCCCTGTCACCGTGTCCCCGGGGCGCTGGCCCTGGCACGGCCGCGTCCTCGTCCCTGCCCGCCGCCAGCGCCACCGAGCCGCCCGGCGCCGGCAGCGCTCAGCCCCAAGCGGTTCTTGTCCTCACCCCAAACAAAGGCTTTATTTATCCTCAATCAGTGGGCGATTACGGGCAAGTGGCAGCGGTCACCCCGCGGCGTGCCCTGACGCCCGGGTGACCGTCCCCCCGCGGCGGGTGGGACACGGGGGTGGCAGCGCGACTGAGGTGGGGGGGACGCCGGGGCCGGGCTTTGTCCCCCGGGGCCCCCGCGGTCACTCACGCTGCCCTTCGCCACGGCTGGGGTGTCCCGGGGGGGCCCCGGCCGAGCGCCTCTTCCCGTCCAGGTCATAAAATCCCCGGCGGCCGGGCAGATACTGGCTGCAAAACACACACCGCGGGCACGGGGGTTCAGCGCCGGGCACCGCGGGTGCCACCGGCCTCCCCCGGGGATGCCAGCCGGGCAGGCGGAGCCCCCGCCCGGACCTGGGGACTCACCGCAGGGGATTCAGATCCTCGGCCCTGGCCCTCCACGCCTGCAGGGGGGACCCGATGCCAGCGCCGGCCCCTGCGCGGAACAGGCGGCAGCGTTACCCCGTCCGTGCCACCCCAGCGGGGGACCCGGGCCCGAACGCCTCCTCGGGGCGGCAGCTCCGAAGCAGCCGTGCCGGGGCAGGGGGATGCTGCCTGGCACGCAGACCCCGCTCCCCTCACCTCCCTCCCGGGGGCTCAGCCCCGCTCCAGGTACCCGCGGCTGGAGGTGGCACCTCAGCGCTCCGGGTTTTTGGCAGAGGGGTCGCAGCCCTCGGGGTGTGTGTCCCTGCCCTGAGGGTGGGTGTCCCTGCCCGGCCCGCTGCGAGCGAGCCCCGCTGCCAGTGCCACGCTGGCACCCAGGAAACGCATCCATGGGAGACGCCTGTGCTCATGCAACTCATCTGTGCAACCCATGCAACGTGCCTGCGCCATGCTGGCACCCACGCAACGAGGTGCCAAAGTGCCATGCGTGCCCACGAGAAGCTGGCAGCCATGAAACGCCTGTGCCCATGCACTGCTGGTGCCCGTGCAACGCCCCTGAGCCATGCTGGTGTCCCTGCATAGCTGTGCCCACGAAACTCTGCTGCCCACACAACGTGTGACCTCGAGCCACCGGCGGCCCTGCAATGCTGGCACCCAGCTGGTGCCAGTGGCCCTGTGGTGCCATCAGCCCTGCAAAGCTGTCACCTGTGTAATGCCATTGTCACACATGCAACGCTGCCACCTCTCCGACACCGGCACCCGGGTGACACGCCAGCACCCGTGTGTGCCACACCTTGCAGCACTGGCACCCCTGTGACACTGGTGCCCATGCAGTGCCAGCCCTGTGCAGCACTGGTGCCCATGCAGTGCCAGCCCTGTGCAGCACTGGTGCCCATGCAATGCCAACTCTGTGCGGCACTGGTGCCCATGCAGTGCCAGCCCTGTGCAGCACTGGTGCCCATGCAGTGCCAGCCCTGTGCAGCACTGGTGCCCTCGCTGCCAGTGTCCCCAGAGCCCCAGGAGCCACTCACTGCTCATCTCGCCCAGGGACAGGTGGGAGCTCTTTAGGCCGGGGTCCTCGTAGCCTTCGGGGTCCAGGGTCCTCCTCATCCCCTCCTCGTAGGCCTCCTGTGGGACAGAGAGAGGGGTCAGCAGGGTCCGGCCCCCCCAACGCCTCGCCGGGGCCGTGCCGGGGCGCAGCGGCGGAGCCGGGGCGGGGGGCCGGGGGTCCCTACCTGGCCGGGCCCCTCCATGGCTCCGGGCTCGGCCCCCGCTGCCGCCTCGGCGCGTCCCGGCGCTCAGCCCGGTGCCACCATAACCCGGCGCTCTGCGGGGCGGGCACGGGGGAGACGAGAGAGAACAAGTTAGTGGAGAGCAGGGCATCGCAGAGAACAAGTTAGTGGAGAGCAGGGCATCGCTCGGTGCCCCCGGGACCGGCGCTTGTCCCAGGGGCGGGGGCTGGGGCCGGACGCCGTGGCCATTCCCGCAGCCCCTGCCTGCCTGACCCGCTCCCCACGGGCTGCGAGGTCCTGGGGCTGGGGGTCCCCAGGGAAGTCATGCCCTGCCCTGTCGCCAAACGGGATGGGAACGGACGTCAGGACACGGCAGAGCGCCGGCAGCTTCCCACAGGGACGTGGCATCCTGCCCTGAGCCACCCGTGCCCACGCACGCCGTGCCCTGTGCCCAGGGTCAGCGCCCGCACGGACCCGCAGCCGGGGTCGGGTCCCGTGTGGACCCACGCTCGGGGACTGCGATCCCACACGACCCTCTCGTGTGTGGGCGGGGGTCCCATACAGACCCACGCGCATCCCTGGGGTCCTGCACAACCCCTTGCAGCCCCCTGCAGCCCCCTGCACACGGCCCCAGCCCCTGGCAGAGCCGGGGGCGGGGACAAGGGGGGAAACTGAGGCACAGCTGGACTCACAAGACACCCCAAACCCGGACGGGGAGGTGAGCACCCCAAAGCCCCCCAGGGTGCAATGCTGGGGGGGCCCTGCTGCTGCCCTTCCATCAGCCGCCAGATCCTCTGCAGCGCCCGGTGCCCAT